AATCACAACTGGGCTTGGGCTTGGTGGCTGGCGCAAAATGGCTTGCGACTTCGCCGATTGGCTGGTATGCCAACCAACTGGCTCCCATGAATCATCATCGCTGTGCATGTATGTCGATATCATTGTATGCAAGTTATACTTCCCCAAGACATGCTTCATGCTGGTCAGCCCACGGCTCAAACTTGTAACTCAAGCCTAGAGTTCACAATCATGAACTCCCACGGCCTCTCATGTTGTATCCTTAGTCCATGAACATATAAAACTTATACCAGCCCCGTTTAAGCATTAATAACGAGAACTACGTTCGACTGGAACTCGTATGGTTCGGATCCAATAGCAGATATCAATATTCATAGCTCAGTTCCGCCTAGAAGCCGGGTCTTGGGCTCGGTTCGGCCTTGTGCCCTGGCTCTTAAATGAAGCGAGAGAAGCTCTATCAGTTTCCATCGAATGTAAAACAAACTCTTGGACGTTTTTGGACCATGCAAGATGGCAATTGCCGCTTGTGGACCTGAGTTGAACTTTGCAAACCTTGAGCAGCCAGGTACATGGTGGCCACATAATCATTCACGACGATGTTTTATTAACCATCGATTTAAACTGGAACTCAATGCCGCTAGCACCTTCGAAATAAGGAGCATTTTCGCCTGAGAGAGCATTGTGATCACACCAAGCAGCGAGTTATAAATGTGCCGAGACAAAATTCAAGGCAACGACTAGCCCCCTGGGAGAAGCTACAATGATTTCACCGGGTCAATACCTGAACACTGTGACTGGGTGCGTTGTCGTTAATTAATATGATTCAGCCGCTAGTCACGACGATGAGGAAGCTCGGGATGTTCCGAAGACCCCTCGAGAGGAAAGAAAACGATGATGATGCAACGGTCGATGGTGAAGGGAGAACTCCTGCAGTGTAAATCCTCAATGTAATAAGCCAAGCCACACTCAAGCCCAAGCCGCACAAGTCCGCCCCAGCCAAATTCAACTCCGCTTGGCGGGGCAAGCCATTGGGCCAAGCCACTCGGAGAAGTCGGCAAAGAAAAACATGCAGACTTGTGTACCAACTGGTACAGCGAGCTATGACAGCTATGACTGACAGTAATTCTTTGGGCTGTGAAATCTGCCTTTGACGCGCCTCCAATTTTTCAACCCAGCGAATGCCGGAGCGGCCATCAGACGGATCGCGAGGCAGTGCACCGCTACAGCTTCCGATACAGTCTGATGGCACCTCACGGCCGCAAACCAGCGGCGAAGACGACAATCCACAGCCATTATAAAGCACTCTACGAACCTTGACCTCTCTCTTCTCCTCGGCCTTCACCTTCCTGCTCTCCACGCGAATGCGCGTACTACTTGCAACTCATATGCCGCGGCCAGCAGCGCGCAGTGACTCCAAGTACCTGGCGACGTTTTGTCGCTCAGAGCCAAGCCACGGCGTGGATACCGCGCCGATACCGCTCGACGTCAGCAGGTGGGCGGAGATCTAGAGCATCGGGAATCTGCGCACGCGAGAGGTGGTACCGACCCTGAGAGCAATTTGATAGGTTTGTGTGCCTTCAATGGGTATATTGACGCTGACGTGTCGCACAGATCTGTTACTTATGTTTATTGAATGTCCCTCATCTACCCATGATCCATGGCTGCTATGATGTCGGCACTCCCTGTTTCACTATAACGCTCAACGCACACAAATATTGGCCGGATTGGACAGGTACTCCATGGATCATCCGTGCTAACTTCACTATCGTTTTATCAAGTCTCTTCAGAACGCCCACCGTGCTCTACAATTGCAAGGGTCAGCCGAGTCAGCGTCTTAGAAAAGGTATGTCGTCCTCGTATTTCGCAATCGAGGTGCCTCAGTAATTTTTCTACAATCCCGCCCTCGACAAGAGGTACGCTCTCTTCTACTTTGGGCTAGGAATACCCATTTCGACTTGCATTGCAGGACTTACTTCCCCAAGCGCAACAGCGCTCCGCTGTTCACGCGATCGGCAGCGCTGGGAGCCTCTTAGCGTCTCGTGCTTCTACGGCATTTCTCTTATATCGCTGCACGACTCAGGAAGGTAATACTTCCTTATATTCAGCCAATCAATAGGACATTTGATATTTGTGCAACAGATTCCGCGAGCGTCAGCCTCACCGGCGGCGCAGTTGGCAAAGATCCATTCGACTGCGTAAAGTACCACGCTGTCTTACTTCATGTTGAGTTTCCAACACGCCAGGTCTCCAGAGCTCAAATTTTCTTCGACAGTCCCTTCAGGAAAGCCGGCATTATATTACAGCGAAATCTACATGGCTCGACGTCCTTAAAAATGTACGTACGTTTCCTCCTTACATTCTAGCCAATAATGACCCCCGGAATATATTTTGCACAGATTCCGCAGGCGAAGAGGGTCCTTCGACAAGGCCTCAACCACACTGCCAAACATGGAGCATATGGTGGGTCTGCCTACATTCTTGTGTCATTTTTAATTCAGCGCGTTTCTTCGTCCCTCCATTTAATTCGAGTGTTGGCATTTAAATTTTTGTCTGTACTTCAATACTCGAGTCTTGCATCCCCGTGTCCTTCTTCTTTCAATCCCCTTCAGTGGTGTTTCCCCTTCATTATACCAACCGGTCCAACCCAACCTCTCTTCTTTGAATTAATGTCTCACTTTTATGGTGTTTCCTCGCTATTGTCTCACATTGATTGATTTTCTACACCAGGCACAACGACTCCTTTGCACCTGCTCTCCCATGTAGCGTCGCACCTCTCCGACTCATGCTCTCTCCCCCAAGAATGCTCCTCGTCAGGATGCCACAAACGCCGGTGCACGCCTCGGCCACTCGAGCATCACGTGCGTCGGTTGGGACGCGACGCGTTATTTAACCTTGTGTACGCACTGTAGGCCACCCAAGTGCACCTCCCTCTCATCTATCATGTCCGACATGTCCCTCCCATCCGAAACCGAAGTTTCACTCTGCCCTTCGTGCAACAGCACTTTCCAGCACGCCGACCTCCTCCCCAGTGCCACTCTATCTGCCGAGCTGCTCGAAATTGTACGGAACAATCGTCCCCACGCCGCGACGGCTGAGATGCGCGCCATCATTGCCAAAGCACCCACCGAACTCGAGCGCTACGACAGGGAGCTCGAGCGGCTCGATGCCATCTTCGACCAGATCATGGCCGGACGCAAGTCGCTCCAGCTCTTCTACGACCAATGCGTGTCGGTCGTCGATGCCCCCGTGCGGCGGCTCCCCACCGAGATCCTCGCGGAGATCTTCCACCACTGCACCACGCAGGATTCGAAGTCGCCGGACACGGACCCCATCCCCACACACCTCTGGGAATCCGAGGCGAAGCGCGAGCTGCGTCGCGTCGCGGGCGGTGATCTTGTCTCCCTCGAGCAGGTGTGCGTAGGGTGGCGCCGCATCGTCCACGGCACGCCCCGTCTGTGGTCCACGATCACGCTCGACGTGCGGTGTTGGACGCCCCCGGGCGAGCTGCAGCATGCCCTCCGGCTCCCCCAGTACATGATGCAGCGGCTCCGCGTCGCGCTCAACCGCGCGCAGCTGGCGCCGCTGACGATTCGGGTGAGCGGGGGCGGGTCGTGCCACCCGCAGGCCCTGCAGCTGCTCGTGCAAAGTGCCCCCCGCTGGCGCGCGGCGTCGTTCACGCTCGACTGCGCCGAACTCAAGAACCTCTCCGGCGTCCAGGGAAGACTCCCAGTCCTCCAGTCGCTCAACCTCCAGGGGCTCAACGAGGACCCCGCGATCTTGGCGGAGGTGGCCCAGTATTTTGCACACGCACCGCACCTGCGGCGCCTCGAATATTGCGGGCCCCTCGGCGCGGTGGCACACCTGCCGCTCCAGCAGCTGCGACACTGCGGGTACGGCGCCGTCTACCCGGACGACCTCCCCGCGCTCTTGTCGACGATGGGCGCGCTCTCGAGCGCCGAGGAAATGCACGTGGAGATTAACCTCGCGGCCATGCGCAGGGCGCTGCCACTCGCGCTCGTGCCCGTTGTGTCGTCTATCGGCCAGTTCGAGATCGAGTCGATGGAGGACTACGGGGACGAGTCCCGCCCTGCGCTCGCCGCGCTCTTCCCGGCGCTCACCCTCCCGCAGATGCACCAGTTCAAGCTCTTCGGCAGGCGCGACGTGTACCCGTACGGTCCGCTGTACTGGCCGCAGCCCCAGGCCCTCGCCCTATTCCGACGCTCGGGAAGCCGCGACATACTGCGCTCGCTGTCCATCCCCGACGTCGTGATCACTGAGAAAGAGCTGCTCGCGCTCCTCAAGGAGCTCCCCTCGCTTGCTTACCTCTTCGTCTCGGACCACCCCCAGCTCGACCCCGCGCCCGACAGCGGCCCGCACCTCGTCGTCACAGACACCTTCCTCAAGGCGCTCACGCCGAACCTCGACCTCCCTGCCGAGTGCATCCTCCCCAGCCTCGCTATCATCGACTTCAGGACGCTCGGCCGCTTCACGGACGAGGCGCTGCAGGTGTTCATCGCCATGCGCCTCAACTGGCGCGATGATGAAGCGGGGTTCGAGTGCGCGGTGCTGTGGCTCCAGGGGTATCCGCGGCCCTTGGGCACCGAGACGTCAGAGTATTTTGAGGACTGGAAGGAGCACAACTCACTCGTGTTTGCGTGTCGGGAGTTTGACCCAGCTGACGATTATTGAGGACGATCTATGCGCATGTTCAATTTCTCACCGACGTACATATGTATATCTCTCATCTCACTGGTCTCATGTATCATACCAATCGCATTGCATTTATTACTCGTCTACTTACCGGGCCTCGGCCGATCGACGTTCAAGCGGTTGCTTGGTGCCGCGAGTTTGTGTTGTTTCCCCGTGTGCTGAAATTCTTTGGGCCGCCTCACTTGATATGTGCACACGATTTTCCGCCGATAAATAAAACCGTCGATCTCGACGCAGCACGACCTGAACTCGCCGACCGAAATTTGGCTCCGGGACTGGTCGGGAGAAAAAACTAGTACTTCATCCAATCATTCGGACGCTGGGAATCGAACCCAGGGCTCCCGCTCTGACTTGGTCCAAGATGATCCACAGAAGGCAGGCGTGCACCGTGCACCACGTCCGAGTTATTAGCCTGGATGTGCACCTAAATATATCAGACGAGAATTATCCGTTTCCGAGCACTGTAGGAGGGCATAGCATTCATTCAACTTATTGTGGTCGGTTATATACATAAAAATCCGACAAGACGGGTACGCGGACGAGATACAGTTGTGTAGATTCGATATATATATATATCGCGGGTGCAGGAGGAAAGGTATATGTAGTGGGAAGTATTCGTAGGCGGGTGGTGTACCGGGATTATATGCAGGGCTATGTATGTACGGGGATGGGTATACGATCGAATGTGTAGGGTGGAGGAATTGATGTGCGATTGGAGATCGCGGGATGCAGCGAAGGGGAGGAGAGGAGAGGAGTATGTGGGCGGGAGGATGCATAGATGTTTAGGTGCGCGCAGGAAAGCGGCGTCCGCGATTGGCGGGGGCGAAGATAGTGGTTTGTTGAGTGGAGAGGGTCGGTGGAGAGGCGCGGTGACGAGACGCGATGCGGCGTAATGCACTGCAGCGGCGGCGTACAATCGGGGTAAGGTGGAGAGGCGAGGAAGGCGAACGCGGGCGCCGCGTGCAACGTGAAGCTTTGAAGCGGCGTACCTGTGGCGCTGCGCCCACCCTTCACTCAATACGTTTACCCCCCGACTCCGGCTACTCTCCCGACTCAGCGTTGTCTTCCCACCGCCACCGAACCCAAACACGCGTTTGAGCTGGGGCACCTCGCGCGTCGGGCTCCGCACCGGCTGCTGTTGTGCGTAGGTAGGTTGGGGCTCAGCGTAGACGTTACGAGTCTAAAAATTTATTTTTAGCTCGTTCTTTGTCATCCATTTGCGCCAACCCAAAATTTTTTCCCTCAGTTATGACGGATGTGATTCTTTCGTGAACATCCAGACATCTCAACATTTGCGCAGGTTCCCTTGACTCCTGCATAGGCCAGCATTGCCTTCGGTGGTACGTGAACGGTTTTATTCAATCGTTGCTATGTCTAGGCTATAGCGGACCGATCCGGACAATAATATGGTCGTTTGCTGAGTACGTGAGATGCGCACCCGTGAGCAGGCCTGCGCAGAGTGCGCATGGCTTCGGATGCATGCGCCGACCTGATCCGTGATGCGCAGGGCTGCGCAGGGCTGGGCATTGATGGGCAGCCATGTGTGCGCAGTGATGCGCATAGCCTCGCATGACTGCTCGGCTATTCGCGCCCGATCAGGTCGGCCATCAGTTGGTTTAATCAGAACTTCTGCGCAGAGCTCGGCAGGCGGGCAATTGGTCCGGATCCTGCCCAATTCTGCCCCGCAACGCCTGCTTCTATATAAGGCTAATTTCAAACCACCCTCGGCACGGGGTGCCGCAGGCCCTTGGCGCATCCAACTGCACAGTTGTGACCCAGCTCACAACCCGTCTTCATCCGCAACCACCATCATCCGCAACCACCGCTCTTTTACACCACTCTCTCTTCCTCTCTCTTTCCCTGCCATGTCCAACTCAGACGTCCAGCCTGGGCCTCTCCTCTTCGCACGCCGTTCTTGCATCCATCCTGGCTGCCCTTGTGTGTCGACCACGTTCACAAACTCTCGCATGGTATGCAATCAGTTCTCCCTCTCATTTCTCATCGACCCCCCTGGCCTTTTCCCTCATCTAGACCCCCAAACATGAGCGCGAATCGTGTCTCTGTGGTCATGCTGTCCATTCTCATGCACCAAGCACGGAGGAACTCCGCTACGTCGACCAAATTGGATGGGCTAAGGGCCCCATGCCCACCCACCAGTGTACTTCATTTTACTGTGTACGTCCCCTTAGACTCGTGTTCCACTCGATTCCAACACCCCCCCTTCCCCAGCCTCACCGGCCCTGGAACGAATCCTCGGTGTGCATCTGTACCGGTCCTTGGCTTGGCCATGCCCCCATTGATCAGGCGCGTCGCACGTACGTTTATATTGACATCCCGTGCTCTCGTTCTCAATAACCCCCCAGCCACGCCGCTCCTGCCGTCCAAACCACCATTATGCGCCCCATCCCCTTGGATGTCCAGACTCGCCGCTCGCCCATCTCCCCATTCCAGCCGCGCGGGCATGATGACACACCAACCGACAAGGACCAACTCTCCGCCATCCAGGCTCACTACATCCCCACTGTCCCAAATCCCCACAGCCGGAGGGGGAGGGGTTCGAAGGGACGCACTGTCGACACGCGACAGCTCAAGAGGTCGTTCCAGATCTATTTCCTCCCATTGTTTCATGTGCGTGTCGCCCGCGCATGTATCCACCACCGCTCCCCTACTGATCCCATCTATTCAGTGCAGCAACAGGAAAAACGACGATCCGTTTTCTTTCCTCAACTACAGTCTTTCTGACCACCGCCAGCTCTCAGCATTCCTCCAGCACCTCGAGGGCCTCAAGATGGATTTCCCCGTCCATCTTCCTGCCGCTGGTTCAGTCTGGATCCACTTTCACCAGGCCGTCATCAAATTCTGTGAAGATAACCATCTGACTCTACCTTCTCGCCCGGGATCGGGAGCCACCTTCTCAGCCCTACCTTGGACGCTCCAGGCCCCATCTACAATCGCGAAAGCTTTTATGCGGCGCATACTGTCGAGCCCTCCCCTGACAGCCGCCACATTCACGACTTCCGAGCTTCTCAAAATAGCCAAAAAAAATGCCGGACATGGACGCTCAGGAAGATGCAGATCCTATACTCTTCATCGGTGCGCGTCATCCTTTCATGTCCTGCCCCAACTGAGACAAATTTTCGTTCCAGCCCCCCCCTATCGTCATCTCACCGGGCCGCTCACGACGACCGATAACAGCCGCCACGACTGTTTCCCATGGCACGTCCTTCGCAACACCATTTTTCTTCCTCCCAACTCGCCCAACGTACCTCCCCCTGGCTGCCTGCCATCCTGTCCGTCGGCAATCGCCCCTTCTAGATCAAGAGCCCGCCCCGCCTCCTTCGAGGTTCTTACCATCTTGCCCTCTCCATCCCCTCTCTCACAACCCATCACGTCTGTACAGAATCCCGCTGAGATGCCACCGACGACACGACCCCACACAGCCACCCCCGACTTGGCCTACTTGCCGCTGCCGCCTACTATTCAGCCCGCCTTTCCCCCCCGGCAGCCCACACCGGACTTTCCCCCTGCTTCTACGCTGCTTAATGTATGTACCCTCCGTCCCCCTTCTTTGACTCTCCTATCTGAAGCGCCCTGTGCAGTCTCGTCCCACCCCCACTCCGGCCCCGGAAGCTCCCCCGGCCCCTGCTGTATTTCCCGTCCCCCATCCTTACCATGCTCCTGTCCTCCATCCTTTCCGGGCTCCCTTCGCCAATGTTTTCCCCTCTCGTCCCTTCCCCAGCTTGCCCGTATACCCTGATCTCCCCCGTGCCAACGCCCCTGCTGCCGCCGGTCCCTCCCGCAACCCATTCTGCGCCGGTCCTGCACCCCCCACCCCCCCTCCACGGGTAAGCCCCAATAACCCATCCCTTCCCCATTCACCCACTCACGTCCTTCCAGTTCCAGTTTACCTTTGGTCCTCCGGACCCTGCGGTTGATGTGCCTCAGGCGAGTGCACCATATTCTCCTCACGCAGCACAACGCCGCTGACATGTTCCTTCCAGCCCGCCTTTCCCTTGCATGGAGCCCCTCCTAATCGATCCCTCTTCCTGCCCGATTCACCGGAGGTACTCTGATCATTTTTTCCTCGACCACGACTCGGCCACTCACTGTACCCTCTTTAGCCCCCAACCTCCCCTCTCATGCACCGCTCCCTGTTTCCAGGCGCGCGCCATCCCTCCCCGCCTCGGCAGAACGCGTCCGGGACGCCGTCTGCCATCCGCGGTGACTCCCCGTCGCCCATCCAAGTTGACACGCCGTCGCCCATCCGAGTTGACACGCCGATGCCGCGTCCGAGACGTGCCCCCCATGCACCGGAGTCCGTCATTTCGATTCCCAGCACCCCCAGTCCTCCCAGCCCTCCCATTCATTCGCCGACCGTGCTGGAGTCCCAGCAGGCGCACATGATTCCTCGCTTCCTTCCCCAGCCACCCGACAGCCCGCCTCCTCTGCCACTTCCCATCGCCATGGCCGACGATGTAGAGCTGCGCACTTTTGTGACTCTGTCCTACGCCGCAACCCCTACGACGATGAGACCCCTTTCTCCGGCCGCGCCGCCGATGCCAATGAGCTTGCGAAGACCATGCGTGATTGGATTCTCTTTTCATCTCCCAGCGGAACCTCCTTCCAGCTCACCGGTAACAACAGCATCATCTGCTCAAGCCTCCAGGCCCTCCATGACCCCGGGCTCGACATCAGAATGTAAGGTTTCGACGCATTCCTCCTCGCCATGTCATGATTCTCACTCCCTTTTTCCTGCAGCGGCCCGGGAGCTCAAGCGACTGACCTTGATGCTACCGGCAACGGTCCTCGTCGTGCTGTGTTTGCCGCCGGGCTGCGCCAGCTGCTCTACCCCCCGCATCTCGCATCTTACTTCAACCACGACGATTTGTTCGACGGTTTACTGCGGGCTCCCCTCTTTCCGCTGAATTTGATGGATATGTCGTCCGAATTCATCATCTTTCTCTCATCCCTTGCATTAGTCGTCCCACACTTCCCTCTCAATCCCCGTTGACTTCGTCCTTGGTAATATCGCCGGTTCTATTCTGTTGCGATAAAGGTGCAAATCTTGAGAGCCCGGCTACCTCAAAGCTTATATGGCTTGTCGCTTGTCTGCTGTCTGCGACGGCAATCCATTCTACTCCACGTAGAACCGTTCTCGTTGCAATTTTGAATATCTTGCTATGTATCCTATTATCGCTTGGCTCCCGCTTCGTCTGTGCCTTGTGCCTTCCTATGCGATGTTTCGATGCGCCATATTATTACTTGCAGGGCTGGACTCGGAGTAGCACCAAATACAACATGAGCATCCGCCAGGGTCGGGAATTACCTTACAGCTATTTGCGGAACATAAGGCGCGAGCTATTTTTTCCTTTTTGGTAAATTTTCGATCTCTTTCACCGAATC